CAAAATGATTATAAAGCAATAAAAAATGTTTAAAAAAAGAAAAAGAAATACTCTGTTGCACTGCTGTTTCCAAGGATCATCTATATGAGGTTGAGTGCCTTCCTTAACACTCTAAGTGGCTTCTGTTTCCACCACAATATGGAATCTGCTCTGACAAATGTCTCACCACTGGTCTCTTTTTTGTTAAATCCAGTAGATAACCTTTTTGCCTTTATCTTGCCTCACTTCTCAACAGTATTTGACAGTGATAACTATTTTCTTCCTGTAACACTCTGCTTTCTGGCTTTTATGACTTGTCTTCCCAGGTTTTTCTCCTTTCTCTCTAGCTGTTTATAGTTTCTTTAAGCTCCTCTACAGGCCTCTTAAGGACTGGCATTCCCTAGGGTCCCATCCCAAGCAACTTCTCACTCTGTAATCCTGCTCCAAATCATCTTTTGCCTATTACGTTGCCATATGCTAATGACTCCTAATCTTATCTCCAACCCTGTGCAAAACATTGCCTGTAAGATCCCAGGACTGGGTGCCCCTTGGCTACTTCTGACTCAGCGAATTCAAACTGAAAGCTATCTGTTAACCAAATGTGGGCCACTTATGTGTCTAACATAAGATAACTTTTTTATCAACAGGATGATTTAGGCATTAAGACTCCAGATATTAAGCTTCTGTTCATATAACTCAATTGTATTCTACTAGGCAGTGTAGGGAAGGATTCAAGATGGTGAGAATTTTGCTTCTGTATTTGTTGATTCCTCATTTTTCAAACGTTAACAATTCCAGGTTCCTGGATACCATTTTTACCATACACAGTAAGCAACAATACTCAAACCTGGCTGTGCATCAGAATCACCTGGGATGTTTCTAAAAATAAGATTCCTGGATCTACCCTGAAGCTACATTTCCACAAACACAAGACAACTTAGGCATAAGGTCATTCACTGTGTTAACTTTTGTAGTAGCAAAGGATGGGAAACAGCAGAAATGCGCATCAGTTACAGACTTATTGAATAAACTATGGTACATCCACACAATGGAGAATTCTCCAGCAATTTAAAAAACGAAAGAATGAGGAATACCTTTATGAACTGATAGGGAGACTTTCCAGGATATAATGTTAAATAAGAAAAAAGCAAGACATAAAACAATGCAAATAGTTTTATTCATGTGTGTGTATGTGCTTTGTTTTACATAAACAAAAACAAACACAGGACACATAAACCAGAAGTTAATGAAAATAGTTACCTATACACAGAGTGGAAGCAGGATAAAAGACGGGATGGAAACAAGATCTGTGAGTCATTCTTTATAACGGTTTTGACTTCTGAACCAGGTGAATGTTTCATATGTTCAAAAATAGATAAAGAAACAAAAAGCAAAACCTAAAAATGAACACAAACAGGAACAAATGAAACTGTCTATCAAATGTTTAACACAACCTCTCAGGGAACATAATTACTTCAAGTTACTTTGGAATACTCTGAATAAATATTATAAGTTACTCTGACTATATACCCTTCTGAGGACAGACAGTATACAAAGTAATACACTTTATGGCACAACTCAGTTAATGTTAGTTGTAATATTGTAACTTGTTAACAATATGTATTGTAGGATAAAACAAATAAGTAGATGTCTTCGTGTTTTATCAAGTGGAGGTTTTTAATGTACATGAAAAGAAATTCAAACATAAAATAAAGGAAGAAAACCTCCAACAATGTTAAATTTGAATTAGAGATATCAATATCAGCTTATAATTTCTTAAAATATATTTTCTAGCTCTGTCTACTGAAACAGCCTGAAAGCAATGTCACCCAGTAACTCTGATCACATCTACCACCCTGATCTTGGTTTAGGGATACCATTTCTTATTATAAGAAATGGAGGAGTCTTAAGAAATGGTGGATTCCACCTCTGGGACAGGAAGTACACTGGACCTGGGACTTCCTATATCAGAAGGCAAGGAAGCACTCAAAAACTAACGGGGTTATGATAAAAGGGTTCAGGAGCCAGCTGGAAGGCCTTCCCACTAAACAAATTTAGAGAGATTTGAGTATCAAAAAGAATAATGACTGCACTTGATTGTAACACACTGAGTAAATGAAAATTGATGTGTCCATCACTAAAAAAATTTTTTTTAAGAAAAGGAAGAAAAAAATGTAGTTAAGAAAATATCAGTTGAGAAATTTAACTGACAGTAAATAAGAAAACCGTATGGAGAGCAGTATGAGGTTCCTTAAAAAAACTAAAAATAGAGTTACCATATGATCCAGCAATCCCACTTTTGGGCATATACCGAAAAAGATTAAAGCTCTAATTTGAAAACATACATGCAACCCAGTGTTCACAGCAGCACTATTTACAATGGCCAAGACATGGAATGCCCATCACAGGTAAACTGATAAAGAAGATGTGGTGTATACACACACACACACACAATGGAATTTTACTCAGCCATTAAAAAAAGAATGGAATAATGCCATTTGCAGCAACAAAGATGGGCCTAGACATTATAATATATAATACTAAGTGAAGTAAGTCAGAGAAAGACAAATGTCATATGATATCACTTCTATGTGAAATCTAAAAAAAGTGATACAAACGAACTGTTTACAAACCAGAAATACTCACAGACATAGAAAACAAACTTACAGTTATCAAAAGGGAAAGTGAGGAAGGATAAAGTAGGAGTTTGGAATTAACAGATACATACTACTATATATAAAATACATAAGCAAGGAACTACTATATGGCACAGAGAACTATATTCAATATCTTGTAATAACCTATCATGGAAAAGACTGAAAAAG